CTAGAAAAAAAAATGGTAAAATTATAACTGAAGAATATTTTAAAAAATGGATAGAAAAACTAAAGACGATATTTTTATAAGTAGAAAAAATATAGAAAAATGTAAATGTGGAAAAAGTAAAAAATTTTAAAATAAAAATATTTTTACAAAAGGATGTAAAAAATATAGAATAAAAAACATTGCTGTTTTTAAAAAAAGGATAAATAGAAATATATGAATAAATATATAGAATATAGAATAAATAAAGAAACTTGTTAATAAGAATAAAAGTATTATAAAATATAAGGAAAATGTACGAAAATTAAGAGAAAAAAATATATATATAACAAAAACTGTACAGAAATGGACAGAAAAAATATAATATAAAATATTAAATATTTATCATCCTACTTCTCTACACTGTTATTATCATGAACACAAGTCAGACACAAGATATAAAGTCGTTTTGTCTTGTGGGGAAGAAAAACATCAAAACATCCATAGAAGTCATTTTTCTGGAACAAACTAACCTTCTGAGGATCTCTGGACCTGAGACAGTCGGTCAGCACTGATGGATGTGATGAGCTGAAGAGTGGAGAGGAGAATGCAGCAGCAGCGCCACCTGCTGGAACCATCACTGTTCGCAGCTGCACAATGTGGAGTGTAAAACACTGCGACAGAGAGCAGGGTTACATCTTCTTTGCTCCCACAGGCAGCTCGCAGGTGTCAGACACATTTAACACTCTTTAAAACCTTTCCCAGATCATTTTTAAAACTAAATTCAAAACCGATTTTTGAACAAATGATATTTTTCTCATTCAAACATTGGATAAAGAACGCATGAACTCAAGAACTTAACCTTCAACATTGTATTGTCCACAATGTGGTTTTCACCAATGGCTGTTTTTGCCTTCATGCCATCCATTTCGACGTACCAGCGAGAAGCTAGCCTTCATCACTGTGGGATCATCTGTTATCAGGCTGAATGTGAATTTAGGGGTCAAAGTTTTTAGGCTTTCACATTAAAAAAAAAATCCGACCATCTGATGAGGCTTGATAATATCAGCTGATTGAAGTGATTAATTACATATTTGTTAGCTATTAAATTAACTGCCAACTGACTTAATAATCAATTAGCGGGTCTGAGTAATTAAAAAAAGTCAAAATTCTCTGATTCTGCCTTCTTAGATGTGATTATTTTCTGCTTTCTTTCCTCCTCTGTGACAGTAAAGTGAAAATATTTGGGGTTCTGGGAAACACTGGAAACATTTTCCACCATTTTCTTACATCTATAGACCAAACAACTAATCGATTAATCAAGAAAATAACACTCAACTGATTAATCGGAAATTTTTTTTTTTTTATTGCAGTCCTAGATTTAGATGTTAAAAATACCGCACAACCCGATTTCTCCATGAATTTTTTTTCAATTTTGTTCTTACCGGCTGCCGCCTGAGTTAACTTTATTTTTACTTGTGCCCATATTCATAAGTTTATATAAAAGTTTTTTTAACTCGTTACACAACTGTTATGCCGCAGCTTCATCAGGCAAAGATTCCGTCTTCATGCATGTCTGGACAAGCGTACTTTTACCGTGCACAAGAGAGCGCAGCGTTATAAATAAGCAGAAATAAAAACAGTGATTGTATTTATTGGAAAAGGCCCTCTCCAAACCGAGTTACAAAGCGCTGCTGAAAAGAAACAGAAACACCCACTCTTCACTTCCACTGTGATCTATCAAACCTGCCTCCGTGGAGCCCTTTCACTCCAGCTTTGCAGGATCAACCGCCTCCAGCAGCTCCTCCAGAACAACCTGGTTCTGTCCGATGTCCTCAAACTGGGTCAACAGTTCCCTCTGGACGGTTGGGATGGTCTTATACTCTGCCGACGGCTCCGGGCCGACGTCTACAGGCTGCAGCTTGACGTGTGGGACGTCTTCAGGAGGCGTAGCGGACTTCTTTGTCTGCTTGTCCATCTGTTCCATGTCAGCTTGAAGCGACTGATAGCCGAGATGATCGACGCTGAACAGTGACACTGACCGGCAGGATCCAGAGCAGGCTCGCAGCTTCATGTCAATGTCCACCTGGTGACACAAGACAACATACATATCAGTATTCCCCTAAAGAGGACATGTGGCAGACTCATGTTGTTATAAGATATTCAGTATGTGTGGTATCAAACATTAAGTCTGATTTGATTAGGGATGCATGATATTCTCATATTAGCAAACAGTTGGTTTTTCCACATCCAGCAGTTACAGAGCAGAATGATAATTCATCAGGAGTCTTTGTGTCACCTGATGAACGTCAGTCCAATATTCTCTCTGTTAGCTCCTTTTCTGGTCTCCACCACCTCCTGAAGGAAATATCTGTGTCTATAGCACATACATTCTCCACTGTGTTCACCAGCTGGTTGGTACCTGTGTCTGTCTGCTAACTGTGTCTGTTAGCTGTCAGGTAGTGCAGCAGTGAGACGAAACAAAAACAGCACAGTTGCCATAAAACCAAAACGATGAGCTGAAACGCTCCGTATAACAATCTCTCGTCACATCTCACCTCTGCTCGATACAAGTCCTCCAGTTGTTTCTGGACGTTGCCGCGGAGCTCCTCTAGTTGTAGCGACAGCTGGGATGACCGTTTCCGTAGCAACGTAAGGTTCCTGGTCAATCCATCGGCGTTTTCCACGAACTTCAGCTCTGACACTGGAGACAAACACAGTGTTAGTCAACCGCCATTACTTCAATCATCCTGTCTGTATTTAGTCCAGAACACAAAAACAAACAGTCTCACTGTATCTGTTGACGATGACTCTCCGGTTGTAGTTGTAGATGCGTGTCGTCACCGTCATGGACTTCTCAGACATGTCTTCGTACATCTTTGCTGTCTTACACACCATCCTCAGTCTCCTCTCCACCTTGCTCCCCAGTTGCTAGATCAGACCCTGGAGTCTGCAGCCAGAGGGGCATTTAGAAACCTTTGAAGAAGAGCACGAGGGTTTACTGCTGTATCTGAGAGCGTTCAGCAGGTTAGGAGAACAATGTCGGGCTTGGCGACGGTGACTTTGTGCTAAACGTCGGCCGCATTAGAAGTTGATCCTGCAACCTTCAGGGCTGAGAAGTGAAGCCTACGCTCAAGTGCCAAAAACATGTGTTATGAGGTCACACTGACCTTTGACCTTCGACCACCAAAATCAAATCAGTTCATAGTTGAGTCCAAGCGAATGTTTGGGCCACATTTTAACAAATTCCCTCAAGACGATCTGAGATATAGCATTCCCAAGAACAGGACCGAATCAAGGTCACAGAGACCTTCGACCACCAAAATCAGGTTATCGCTGAGTCCAAGTGGACGTTTGTGCCAAATTCGATGAAATTCCCGTGAAGCCTTCCTGAGATATCGCAGTCTCAAGAGTGAGACAAATGTGAGGCCACTCTGACCTTGACCTTTGAACACCAAAATACAATAAGTTCATTGTTAAGATGTTTGAGCCAAATTTGGACAAATTCCCTCAAGGTGTTCTTGAGATATTGCGTTCTCGAGAATGAGTTAGACGTAAGGTCACACTTACCTTTGACCAACAACATTTTATCAATTCATTAATGAGCCCTAAATTTGAGGAATTTCCCTTAAGAAGTTTTTGAGACATTGTGTTTATGAGAATGAGACACGGAGACCTCTGACCACCAAAATCAGTTCATCGTCCAGTCCGAGTGGACGTTTGTGCCATATTTGATGAATTTTCTTTGAGGCCTTCATGAGATATCGCAGTCTCAAGAGTGAGACGAATGTGAGGCCACTCTGACCTTAACCTTTGAACACCAAAATACAATAAGTTCATCGTTAAGACCATGTGGATGTTTGAGCCAAATTTGGACAAATTCCCTCAAAGTGTTCTTGAGATATTGTGTTCTCGAGAATGAGACACGGAGACCTCTGACCTCCAAAATCAGTTCATCGTCCAGTCCGAGTGGACGTTTGTGCCAAATTTGATGAATTTTTCTTGAGGCCTTCATGATATATTGTGGTCACGAGAATGAGACAAATGCGAGGTCACACTGACCTCTAACCTTTAACCACCAAAATTGAATCAGGTCATCATTAGGTCCAGTGGAGGTTAGTGCCAAATTTCAAGACATTCTGTCAGGGTGTTCCTGGGATATCATGGTCACGAGCATGGGACAGATGGACAACCCCAAAACATAATGCCTCAGACCACAGCTATCATTGGCACGGAGGCATGAAATCAGTTTTGGTCTCTATAGCTGATTTCCCCGTACCTGACAACCAGGAGAGTGAATTTATAGCTCATCCATTAAAATGTTCTTAATGTTATGTACATTAAGGGCGTGGCTGCTTTGAGTGACACGTGGGTGACTCAATCAGCATTTGGCTGATTCCTCTTTTTTTTTGGCAAGTACATTTGGGTTTAATGGTTTTGAGCCTCGTTTCTGTGAGCAAAATTTAGCATTGGTATCCCAGTTAACCATTATTGTAATAATACACAGTGCTAACCAAGCTAGCAGCTAGCATTAGGGTTAGCTCTTCCCTCTCGTCCAAAAACGGTCACTTTTGGCTTCAGAAATCTACAATGGCGACGACCAGAATTCCAAATCACAGGCTTTAAAACCAGAGAGTAGAGTTTTTTGGACTCTTACCTTGAACTAAAATATCCAGAAGCAAAGTTGTCTACTCAAACTGAGCTCTGTACTCAAGTCAGAAGTGATGCACTGAGGTTTATCTAAGAGGGAAGCCTGACGTGCAGCATGGCTATAAAACACTGAATCACAAGATGATACTGTGAGTTAATTCATTCATTTGCTGTTGTGGTGTGAAAATGCTCCTTCACATATTCTGAAATTACATTTTTACAAAACTGTGCTCGTGTGTTTCTCACCCAGTCATCGTCTGAACACAGGGTGACGCCTGACGTCCCTCGACAGTGTTGCTTCATGTATGTCTGGGACTGACTGTAGGACTGTCGGCCATCTTGATTCTGCTGCTTCAGCCTTATACAAACTGCAGAAAAACAAACAAACAAACAAACAAACAAACAAACAAACAAACAAAACGCACTGTGGTTAGTTTACCTTCAACTGAGCTCTGAATCAGACACGACGTCACAGATAAAATGTGTTGTAAGAGGACAAAGATCCATCGTGAGGATTTCTAACACGGCAAATTGAATCCAACATGAATGCAAGTTTGAAGCTCAGGGCTAAAAAATCTTTGATGGTTTCCTCAAATTAAAATATGACTGTCTTCTACTTGTGATTTTTATTTTATGTCATTCCTCAGAGGAATAGTCACTGTTATCAAGAATAATGAACCTCCATGAACTCAAAGCTGGACCCTCAGGCGGAGCAAAGTTAAGTGCTCATACGTGTATACGATGGATATTTACACAGTGTACAAACTGATTGAAAATATAAACTGTAGGTGACAATTTGTTGTAGTGTGTTTGAAAATATGACAAATATTTAGATTTAATTATGTGTCTCACATTTATAACAGAACTACAACATTCAATCAGACAACAAACCAAACAGGAAGCTGCGGTGGAATTATTTTTATTGTCTTCCTATTTTTATATGTTAAAATGTGACATAAACATTTTTATATTGTTATATGACATGTGGGATAAACCAAAACTTAAACGCATCTCAAACTAAGGAGTTGATTATTGATTTTAGACATAACAGAGACACAGCTAAAGGAAGCATTGTTCACAAGTGTCACCTCTTACAAATATTTAGGCACCTAACACTGCAGAGAATTCACCTTCTATAAACTAAAGTCGTTTTTCCATCCGTCCCGTCATCCTCTGCTGTTTCTATCAGTCTTTACTGTGCTGTCATTTATCTGCAGGTTTCACAGCCTCACAGTGACAGACAGAAACAGCACCGTTATAATCTGTTCTCAGATCACAGCAGTGACACAACGGGGACTGACCGGTTGTTGCGATCAACAAATTAGTTTCTTCTGGATAACATGTTCTTACAGGTGAATTGCCGTCAGGGCGATGTTACGTTTCACCTGCCTGCGAAACTAACTGTTATTTAAACATTTCATTGTTTATTAAAATCTCTTTTATTGATAATCTATTTACTTTTTTTGTATTTTTTTTTTTATAATGTATGGCTTATTTTATTCCATTGAACTCCTTGGCATGCTTTTTTAAATTTATTTTATTCATTACTCATCTCTTTATGCGTCTACATGTTGCTGTTTATTGTAGCATAAACAACAAGTTACGATTCCAGCCATTATTAAGCCGTCTTACGTAAAGATGAATCCCCTTGGCAGTAATGATTGGTCCAAATTTCTGTTAGAAAACAAATATTTTTTTCGATGATTGAGTCAGACATTTGTTGATAACGTGATTCCAATAACTTCCAGCGATAACTGACCCTCGAAGAAGGAAGTGAAGGGTCGGACTTGCTCTGCTGTTAAAGTACAACATTTCCACAGCAGAGCACATGTGGTGAGTTTGAGCTGAACAAATCAAAAGTTTATTGATGTGGCACCAGTATCACTAAATGTTTCACAATAAAATGATTTGTATGATTTTGCAGAGATCGTCTTTTACGTTGACATTAAAGTGGCTTTTTCTAGAGAGTGAGTGGGATACAGTTTGTGTAGAGGCTTACACACCACTGTAGCTGAGCAAATCTGATCTGAATATTCCTGACAACACACACCAGCGGACACTGTATCACTGCTTATGAGAGTGTGTTGAGATTACAAAGTTCTGGAAGTCGGTGCTGCAGTTTGTGCCTCAGATGACCTCGGCCCCGACACCTTCAGGACATGGGCTCTGCTCGTCAGACATGTTTCCTGCGACTTTTATCTGCCCAGGAAAGAGAAGACGACGGTTGAATTGTGTTTGCTACAGACGAGGCGCTCTGCTGGAAGAATGTGAGTCGCCCCTCTCTTTGCTGCTGGTTGGAAGTAGTGAGAAATCGAGCGTCCTAGTTTATTGATATTTGGGAAATGTATTTGTAAAAAATGGTGACACTGAAGATGCACGGCTCAGATTAAAGATGCAAACTAATGTGCAGATGGTGTGTTGTACCCTGTCCTTAATGTCTGCTTAGATTATACATTTTGTTTTAATGCATTATTATTATTGTAATAATTATTATTACTTTTGTCTGCATGATGCCGTGTGTTCTAACTGCGGGGGGTTTGTGTAACTTGTTAAATGTTTAAAATCAAGTATCATATGTTTACAAAGTGGCTTTTTATGATGGATTTTTTAATGTTGCAAAACAATAAAACAGTGAAAATGTTCAACTTTAAATTGAAAGGACAATAACCTTCCTGACCTTTGTTTGTATCTCCATGTCTCCTTAATATTAGTATCCTTTCTTTGGTATGTTGGAAAGATTTAAACCGTTTCCTGGCACAAACATTTCCAACATGAAAAACCATCTGAATTTCTTTCGTTGCTTTTGGTGATTAGTTCTGTCGATGTAAGTGAAAGCACAAAGCACAGCAGCTGAAGTGAACACTGGATCTTTATTGATTGAGCAGAGTTCAGTCGTGGCTCCACAGAGTTGAGCAACAGGGAGGACACTTTGGAAACATCAGGTCATTCCTTGAACACTGGTTACAGAAACAGGGCAGCGACATTTGCACAAAGTGCTGACAAGAATCAAGTCCATTAAACATGATGAAACTGTTTGACATGATTTTGAAATCCCAGAATGATTTACGAACAGATCAACAGTCTAAAGGTCTGAAAGCACCTTCTCATGTTGGCCTCAAATATTTAGCTAACCCCAGCTTCAGTGTGCGCTTGCTCTTGATTTTCGTTTTACTACACATATAAAAAAGGGTATTTGATCATGTTTTGTCCAATTAAAAAGCAGCCGATCGGATAAACATCCGAACAGTTTTCAAGCTGTAATTGGCCTGTTTATACGTCACCCACACGACTCCATTTTCAATCTCATACGGTGTGTTTTTCTCCGGGTCGTACGTGCCTTTATAATAAATCCC